ATCAGTTATCTTCAATTGTTCGTGGGAGTGGTTGCGGCTGAATGGGTTGTTGAAGTAGAGACGCTTGGTGACTCTTGGGATTCTGTTGAAGGTGAACTTTCATCTGGCGTGATTGCACGCGCGGAGTGGTAAATGTGGTCATCGAAATAGGAAATACTGCCCTTTCATTAATCGAGAGTTAGTATAAAATGTCTAAGGAAGGATAATTGTGTTAATGATAGTGCTAAGTCTCATGGTAAAAATATACCTCGTGTTGTCGAAACGGTGATAAATCCAGTGATTCGTATTTAATGGGTGATCCAACATCGCCAAAATGTTTGATCGTAAGGCTGGCCTCCTCTATTAGTCGAGCATACTCATGTATAGCTTGTAACATATAGTCTAATTGTTCGGTTGTTCTTGTTTGGCTATGACATATATTTGTTATCGTAGGACGAGAGCATCGATGTTTATCGAGGATCTAAATTTCGAAATTGAAATTAGCGCGGGGAAAATATATAAACTGTGTCACATGTAAGTAGAAAAGTTACTTGCTTCATAAATTTGTTCTTGAATCTTTTTCAGATCATTATTGATTTCCTCGTGCACTTCTTTTTGAAGTGACTGCAATTTTCCTAAACGATGTTCATTCTCTATAATCTTTTCTTGTGTCGCCATTATACATTCTTCAACATTATCTAATTATACAAGAATGTTATTTAAGAGACGTGTTAACGAACATTGCCACGGTTCGCGAATACTCTCGCCAGTGCCTATCATATAATCTATAAATAATTTTGACTTGCCTTGTTTTCTCTTGATCTCCTCTATGCTTGCAAGCAGTTCAGGAGCATCCTCAAACAATTTTTTCATGGAATGAGCTAACTCATCCAGATCCTTGTTAAATTGATTGAACTCGTTCCTTGAGCGATCCAGCTCTTTTTCAAATGCTTCTTCAGATACAGGGGAATCAAGTGGTGAATTACCAAGCAATAGTCCAATATTGGATTTCTGCAATGAATTGATATTTGTAAACATATGAATAACGACATCCAACAATAAATCACAAAGGACACTTAAGAGAGTCGTGGCTTTGTAGACATACCTTTGACATATGATTTAGAAAAAACTTATTCTCAGGAATCTTTATTAACAACGTCGGAGAACGCTTCCCCATTTTCATGTTAGAAGAAAAAGTTAAAAGATTGAAATCTAAGATGCACTATATACGATCTCCAGAACTAAAAGTAAGGGGACTAATTTTGAGATGTGGTGAATTTCCTTAGATGAGAATAATAAAAAAAATAATAAATCTGACGATTGTGTAACTTTTTTAAACTTCAAATATCGAACATATGCAAACTTCTCTTTCAAAGGAAGCAAAGAAGTAAAGGAAAAAGAAGGGAAAACAAAATATGTAAAAGGTGAAGGCAAAAAGGAAATGTCAATGCCTATGTACAGCTGGTTTTTTTTGCAGCATTTGAGCACGGTAGTTTCCACCGCCCAGACGCGTACACCGCAGGGTGAAAAAAAAAAAAAATCTGTTTCGACAGAGGAATACAAAAATACAAAGAAAGTAAGATGTTTACGATAAAACTTCGGAGCTTAACGTTTAAAATGGTGAACCGCAGGATGAATATCAGCTTATATAAATTTATTGCAGTTCAAGATGTACAACATTTGGGTCGCCGCATGATTTACGTTAAAGGTAACGTATATATCAGGAGCATGATGCATGATGGCCTGTGGTAGAAAATGTAACGTAATCGCACCACACGGGGTACTAATTTTAGCCACGTTCTCCTTACTATATTAGTATATAAGGATATGAGTGAATTACCTTCAGTTCCTGTGCAGGAATTTTTCCCGCCTATGCAACGTCAATAATTTCCCTATGCTAAGCCATGAAACTTTTTTGTACCCGTCCGGTTCATTGGGGGGTGTTATTGGAATCTTACGTTTTCGGTCTCCGTGGCTTGACATAGTACGTAATTGAATTACGTACGCACTTAATTTGAGGATCACACTTTCTGAAAAAAGAAAAGACAAAATTCATGATTTCATTGTTTCTATTTATGTTATTTTTTGCTCTGCATCAACTTGCATCAATTCAACATGTCGTTATCATATGACGTCCTTTAATCTGTATCGAAGAGTTGTCAATGGAAAAAGTATGCAAGTTGACATTACCGCATATTAGAAAAGAAGAGGCTTGATTGATCGACACCATTACATGAAAGAATAAAGTTTGCATTAAAAATCCTGTGCTCTAAATAATCATGTTCTCATATGTATAGACACCTTCGGATTTATAGTCCGATCTTCCATCCGACCAATGAAAACCATAGTTTAACCGGAGATAAAGAAAAAAGAGAAAAAAGTCTTGTTTCATACATTGCATTCTGATTTACTTATCTCTGAAATCATGCATAGATTTACTTGATATGTATATTAATATTGATTAAATAAAAAAAAGATTTTTGATTGAATATGATTTCAAAAAAAATATTATTATACAATTAAACTTTAATTATATTTTATTAATAATTCGAATCATATAAATAATTTGTATATATTAACTTACTGATT